AGGTTATTTAAACTGTCCATTAGTTAAATGTTAGCTGTGCTGGAAAACAAGCCATTTGTAGGCTGTATGGACTGGGTCCCCACATTTTAGAAGCAGCTAAGTCTCTGTACGGCCCAAGCTTATAACAATCGAAGAACCCATAAAGCAAAACTGTCTTGGAGACCAGAAAAATATTTCTTAGATAAGTTTGTTCGTTGTTTTCTACACATTTTTGTTACTTTGTGAGCATGAAAATTCCTTCTTTTCTCTTTTCTAATGTTCTCGTTTTCATTTTCTTTGCTTTTCTTTCTATCTTTTAAATTTAATTTTTATTTAGATATTTTTGTAGGGTTTGGGATTAAACCCAAGGCTGCAAGCATTCCACCACTGAACTACAGGCCAAGCCCCTTCTTTTCTTATATAAGCTGTGTGCTTGGGTGGTTTGTCTAAGTTTGTTTACTAAGGGTTGAAATTTCATCTGCTTCCTTAGGTTCTCTTTCACTAGAAAATTCTCTTCACAGCAGACACCGGACAGCAGATCCTGCTGTGTTGGCAGAAACCAGGATATCCTGACTGCCTTTATTCGAATCAGCTTCCTCTGTATATCACAAACTGTTCTGAAAGTGTGTTTCCAAAAAAGCATGCTTGTATGTTTGCTATGGAAACATGTAAAATCAGTTTCTAGGGTGAAATGGTGGAAAGGAAAACCTGTTTCAGAGAAAGACTTTGGATCTGCACTTTACAGATGCTGGATGATCCCAAGAAACAGTTCAGCAAATGCAAATTGATCTCTCTTTTCCCCACACACCTGTGATCTATTGGTTCTCAGGCAAGCCAGTGCAGTCACTAAGGGCAAGGACTTGGAAGGCAGCCCAGCTGGTTCATGATGGGATGGCTCTGTTGTTGACTGGCTTTGAGACTGACACACTGTAACAGTGAGTACACAACATCAGTATTGTATTTGCTATTATTCATTCCCTGTGGAGTTGTGCAAATTTACCAGCACACTCTTACTCTCCATCATATTCTTTTTAGATATTTCACGAGGAAAATATACCTCTTCAG